CAGCCTCTGCCTCCTAAGTAATTCTGCCTCAGCCTCCCAAGTAGCTGGGACTACAGGCACACCCCACCACACCCAGTTAATTTTTGTATTTTTAGTAGAGATGGTGTTTCGCTGTGTTGAACAGGATGGTCTCCATCTCTTGACCTCGTGATCCATTTGCCTTGGCCTCCCAAAGTGCTGGGATTACAGGCCTGAGCCACCCCGCCCAGCCAGGGAGTGGTTTTAAGGAGGAGGTAGGAACGAGCTTCCTGTCCTGGGTTTTTCATGTCTGGCTCCTCTCAGGCCTCTGGTCTCAGTGTGAAGGTTACCTCCTCAGAGAGGTCTCCTGGGATGCTTCCTCCAGGGAGTTCCTCCACTGTTGCTTTCTATCTTTGAACCCTCATCACAGGATGATGATAGACCTTTTTGTGTACTTGCTTATTGTCTGTCTTCCCCACTAGACTTTCCCCTAAGCTCCAGCAGGATGAGAACCATGCTGGTGTAATTCACTTGTGTGTCTCCAGCATCCAGTGCATAGCTGGACACATAGAAGCTGCTCAGGACATGTTGTGTGAATGAGCAGCTGGAAGTCAGTGATGGAGGTGAAGGGAGCAGACTGGGACGGAGAGGCTGGTGAGGCAGCACAGAGCTTCCCCATGGCACTGCTCTGTCCTGGGGCTTGAGAGGACAGCTGGACTTGAGGCAGGAGAAGGGCCCCTGGGGAATGTGGGCCGTTTGGACTATGGCGATTGGTCTGGGTACAGAGCTACAAGTTTCTGTTTACACACTTCCTGTTTGGTACTTTGTGGCAGGGTATTTCCAGACCAGTCCCTGGGCACCAGCCAGAGCATGGACTGACCAGGTACCTGGATGGAGACCTGAACTGGAGGAGATGCACATTGGAGGTAACCTGCATGTTGCAACTGTCTCTGGCCCATTTCTGTCCCATTGCCCCGGCATTCCAGTGCTGTTCAGCTGGCTCGCACCGGCATGGCCACGTCCACTGTTAAAGTCTCCATACACTTCCATTCTGCTTGCATAAATCACTTCTGCCATCCAAGGTCCTACTTCAGGCCTCTCTGCCCCCAGGCCCCTCCACCATGGCCTTGAACGGCTCCAGCGGTAGAGGCCATACCTTATTGGTGGTCACTTATTACTGGTGTCACCTCTGAGTGGTCATCTCTCTAATCTCACTACTGTTATTCTAGCTAGTGTACTTGTCAGCTCCTGTCCCTGGTCATAACCAGGACCTCCTAACTGGTCTCCCAGCCTCAGTCTCTTTTACTCCAAATGTAACTTTCATCACTGCTGAAGAGTAGCTTTTGCTTCTTAAAACTGTTCAGGGGATTCTGAGTACCTCCCGGGGAACAGAACAGCTGATTAGCTGGGTTCAAGAGACCTTCAGCCTCCCAGACTCCACCTACTACCCTAAGCAGCCTCCTTCAGTTGTCCTTTGTCCACCCACTGTCCTCATCCTACCAGCTAATACATTTTGCTTTCATTTGACTGAATATTCATGAGCATCTATTCAATGCATGCTACTGTGAGTCGGACAGTTAGACACAAATACCTCCCACCTAATGTAATCTAATCTAAAGGAACCCACGTTGTAATAAAAAGTAATGATTATGGGAATAGCTAACATTGGGTATTTGGGGTAAGCTTGGTGTTTGATATCTGCTTTAATCCTCATGGTAATGTTGTAGCTTACAGGACCCTTGAGTAGAAGAGGCATCAGAATACATTCTCGGAAATGAAAGCTGACTGTAACGACTTCTTGTTTCATTGTGTATATTAGGAAATTGTACAGGCTGTCAGCATGGAAAAGCAGCCCCAGAACAGCAGGAGAGGCCTCGCTCCCCGAGAGGTACCCCCAGCCGTTGGGCTGCTGCTGGTCATGGCCCTGATGAACACTCTGCTCTACCTCTGCCTCGACCGCTTCTTCATTGCCCATCGGCAGTCCCTGGTGGACCCCAGACACTGTCCCTATGGTCACTTCAGGATAGGACTGATGAAAAACTGCTCACCTTGGCTGTCCTGCGAGGAGCTGAGAACAGAAGTGAGACAGCTGAAGCGTGTCGGGGAAGGAGCCGTGAAGAGAGTGAGTCTGGGTTCATTTCTGATCGCTGTCATCATGTTATTTCACTTAACAGTGTCCTCCAGCTCCATCCATGCTGGCACAAATTATGGAATTTCATCCTTCTTTACTGCTAAAGTGTACTTCATTGTGTACATGCACCACATTTTCTTGTCCATTCATCTGTTGATGGACGTTCTGGTTGATTCTGTTTCTTGGTAATTGTGAATAATGCTGCAGTAGGCATAGGGTTCATCCTTCGGGGAAACAGTGTGGCATCGAGTGTTAGGAGCCCTGTTGGCTCTAAGTGTCTATCCTTCCTTGAGCTCGGTAACCTCACATCTGGCACTTTATCTTTTTTTTTTTTTTGAGATGGAGTCTCACTGTGTCACCCAGGCTGGAATGCAGTGGAACCATCTTGGCTCACTGCAACTTCTACCTCCTGGGTTCAAGCGATTCTTGTGACTCAGCCTCCCAAGTAGCTGGGACTATAGGTGTGTGCCACCATGCCTGGGTAATTTTTGTATTTTTAGTAGAGACAGGGTTTCACCATGTTGGCCAGACTGGTCTTGAACTCCTGACCTTAAGTGATCTGCCTGCCTCAGCCTCCCAATGGAACTTTATCTTAATAAGTTAATCTAAGGCAGGAAAAAGGCCAAATGCATAAAGGAGTGCTATAATGATAGAAAACTAGAAACAGTACTTTTAGAATAGTTCATTAAATGATGGTCCATTTACTTGACGGAATATTCTGCAACCATTGTGTAGTTAGGAACCCCAGGAGGCAATACGAAGAAAAGCTTGTGATAATAAGTGAAGAAAATCAGATAGAAAAATGTATAATTGACTTTTCAACTGTGAAATTCTATATATATGTAGATAAATACAAAAATGGCCAGATGTGGTGGCTCATACATGTAATCCCAGCACTTTGGGAGGTGGAGATGGGTGGATTGCTTGAGTCTAGGAATTCCACATCAGCCTGGGTAACATGGCAAAACCCGTCTCTACAAAAATTAGCCTGGCATAGTGGCGCGTTCTACTTGGGAAGCTGAGGTGGCAGAATCTCTTGAGACCAAGGAGCTTGGGGCCGCAGCGAGCCATGATCTTGCCACTGCATTTCAGCCTGGGTAACAGAGCAAGACTCCGTCTCCAAAGAAAAAAAAGAAAAATATGAAAATGATAGAAATTGTGTAAGTGTGAAAGGTGGATTATGGAGAATTTTTTTCCCCTGTGTTTTGAACTCTCTAATGGTATTATACAGATTTTTAAAACATTTTTAATTGGCCCATACTAATGATACATATTTATGGGGTACATAGTGATGGTTCCATACCTGTATACAATGTATAGTGATTGGATCAGAGCATATCTATCATCTCAAACATTTATCACTTATTTCAGTTGGGAACATTCAATAACCTCACTTCTAACTATTTGAAAGTGTATATAATATATTGTTAATTTGAAAGTGTATAATATATTGTTAATTATAGTCATCCTGGGGTGCTATATAATATATTGTTAATTTGAAAGTGTATAATATATTGTTAATTATAGTCATCCTGTGATGCTATAAAACACTAGAACTTGCTTCTCCTATGTAGCTGTAGTTTTGTATCCTTTAAGAAATCTTTCCCGCACCTCACCTTTGCACCGCCCTTCCCAGCCTCTAGAAACCTCTGTTCTGCTTTTTACTTCTTTGAGTAAACTTTTTTAAACTTCTGCATATGAATGAGAACTTATAGTGTTTAACTTTTTGTTCCTAGGTTATTTCACTTAACGTAATGTCCTCTAGTTCCATTCATGTTAGCATGAATGACAGATTTCCTTAATTTTTATGGCTGAATAGTATTTCATTTTGTATATACATCACATTTTCTTTATTCATCTGCTGAAGGACACTCAGGTTGAGTCCATATCTTGGCTACTGTGAATAGTGCAGCAATAAACATGGGGGGTGCACATGTCTCTTCAATATATTGATTTCCTTTCCTGTGGATATATATATCTAGTAGTGGAATGGCTGGATCAAATACATTA